GGCTGGATTAGATGGTTGATTGATTTTTGTTTTTTTGTTTTTCCCCCTTGACAGGTACATATCAGCATCAAGCTTTATGATAGCCAAACTTCAGTTTCAGGCTTCCAGGTCAGTTCCTGCTCCATTGTTTCAAGTCCTGTGCCCTAAGTATTTCCTGCCCTCAACAGTAGGATCTTATCTACTAGTTCCGGGAAACAACCAAGAGGTTTGGCAATATCCTGTGCTATCTGGGGAGTCTCCTGGACCACCTTCACCAACCACTCAAAGGGAGGTCTCTTCTGTCTGGCACTGTGTTCCTTGCCAAGCAGCTCCCAGATATATATATATATATATATGCACTAATGTTCAGACACTCTATGTGCATTTCTCAGGGGATTTCAAGGGCATCACTTTTCCCTCTAGGTTTCCTAGTCCTCCAAGCTTCATTCATCTCTACTCTTTTTTTCACCCATCTACCCTCTCTCCTCCCTTCCTCCCTAGTCACAGTGACCCCATTATCCCTACCTTCCCCCAATACCACCGGGCTCCCACCATCTTCCCTCTTCTGATGTCCCTCCCTCCACCACACCATCTCCCCTTGCATATCCCTCCCTCCTCTTTCCCCTGCTGAATACTTCCACTTTCCCCACTTCCCCTCTGGTAACACCTGTTCCCTAGTCTCCCCCTTTCAGATTCTTTCTTTTCCTTTGCCTCAATGTATCCTTTCCCTTTTCCTGTTATCCAGAGGGCAATCAACAGCTATCTAATTGGACTTAAAGCCCTCTCAAAGGGAGGGAACTCATGGGTGGCACTGTCACCTCAGCCAAATACAGATGGCAGCAGAGGACATAGATCCTGGAGAAAACCCTAACTCTTTCATATCTCAAGACAAATTAAGCTTCTTACTATGTGCTAAATATGGATCCTTATATTTACAAACAAGCATACTGTATACCACTCATCTAAGAGCTTCTTTTTGCAACAGATGGAAGCTACTGCTGAATTGCACATCTGGTCAGACATAGAACATAAAGAACATATGTCTGAGAGATGCCCAGTACTAGGTGACACATCTCCGGTTGAACCTCTACAACTAAGGCTCATGGAACAAAGCAGAACAAGGGGTAGAGAGAAAACTAATGTATCCCTCAACTCTTGCCAGTAAAGCTCCCTTATACAAAATAATGCAATGCACAAAGAAGGCCACAATAGGCCAAGTTTTAAAGAATAAGAGACTGTAGAGTATAGGATAGGACTCCTATATGGAACCTCATCAACCCATGGCTCAGGGACCATTGCTGAAGAGGAGGCAGAAAGATTGTAAGAGCCAGGGCTGGTTGATGAATACAGGGAAGCAGAGGCTTCCAGGCCACTGGAATCTTGCACATGTGAACTTGTGGCAATGATGTCTTTGAGCACGGGACCCATGTCAACTCAATTAAACAAGAGCTCAAAGGGGAGGAGAGAGATAGGTGGTGTACAGGCCCTGTACTGAGAACTATTGGAGACTGGTAGCTGCTGGGTGAAGGAGAGTATGCCTTACATATGATCACTAGATGGGCTGACCAGACTTCAGTGGACACACTTACACTGAAGGACATTTGGGTACAAATGCCTGAATGAGTAGAACTTAACACGTATGGTGGAATACATGAGGTTGGATGGGGATATGGAGAAGGTATTGATGGGGTAGGGTGTCTAAATTTGATTAAGAACTATTGAATGAAATTATAAAAGTTCAATTACACACATATATATATATATATGTCTATATAATGACAGCTTAAATATATCCAGGAATGAAATAAAATGACAAAACCATAACTTTGTAATTCCTAATGAGATGTCTTTGAATAATTATCAGGGCATTCATAAGCATTAGGCAGAATGTCAGTGGAAATTTATAATTTCAGTTTTCAAAACTTTATTTCTGTGTAACTTGTATTTTATGTATTTTATAATTTTATAGTTTCATGTTTTGTTTTAGCTCTCTATTCTACAGCTAGATATTCTGTTTTATTCAGTATGACTCAGTAGGATGCACACAACATTTTTCATGAATTATTCTTGCAATGAGAACACAAGCAAATTTCTCAGTCATATTACTGGTTAACAGAAAACATCAACTTAGGTGAAGATATTAAATTACCTCAAAGGATAATATCAAATCAAGAGCTGAGAAAATTTAATTGACAATTTACTATTCTGAAGTAGGAAATAAAGGAATAGCATTAAAATCGAGTGAGGCCCATAGAAATCACTGTGCTAGAAATCTTAAATGGAAAGTAAATACAGGAGAATATTTCAGGCTTTTAAACTTATTGCCAGGGTCAGTAAGATATAGCTCAGTGAGTTAAGGTGCTTGCCACAAAAAAAAAAAAACCCACAGGAAATCAACCTGAGACTGATTTCCATAACCCACATGATGGAAAGAGCAAAGCGATCTTGGCAAACTAGTCTTCAACTTCTACCTGTGACATGCACATAATCTCTTCCTCTTAAAAAAGTAAATATATACTTTTTAAAAGTAAACACATTGCCTGATTATCAATGTCCTAAGAAACACATTGTTGTAGATGATTATATGCAATTATATAATCTATAAAAGTTGTTTTACCTTACAGACCTGAACATTATCAAGTCTTAAGATGGTTGCTTAGCCAAAATTTTTGACTTCTCTGAAAATAGGTTGTCATGGTTAATTTTCATTTTCAACTCGACTGGAGACACTTTTGGACATGCCTGTGGAGGTGATTCTAGAAGAGAGAAGTCACATCCTGAAGCTGGGCTGCAGTTCTGGATGAAATGAAACAGCCAAGATGAAACCAGTTGAGTACTGGCATCTTTCTTTTTCTGCTCCCTGAACGGCTGAAGCGTGACAGCCAGTAGCCTCATGTTTCTGCTGCCAGGCCTTCCCTGCCATGATGGGCTTTATACCCTGTTTTTTTTTTTTCAGCTATTTTGTGGATCTCTGTGAGATAGAGGCCACCCTGGTCTATAGAGCAAGTTTCAGACCAGCTGAAGTCACAGGGAGACCCTGCCTCAAAAGACAACAAAAACAAACCCAAAAAACCTTGAAATTGTTTTCTCTCAAAGAACATCTCAGGGTCCCTGTTCCTTGCTAAAGAAATAAGGAATATGCTTCATTTGGCATTTCTGGTTGCAAAGAGGACCAAGTGAAATCATTGAGATAACGTGTTCAAAAACATTTGAAAGTACGAGACTTCCTTTGTATCTTAAAAGAAAAAAACACGAAATATGTAAACATAATAAGAATGAGTAGAATTGAAACCCTGTCTGAGATTTTAGACCAGGGAGGGTGGGGTGTTAATGGGAAGAGGTATGTTATTTTCTGGAAAGATCATATCAGGGGTTGAATTCATTTTAGAGTGACAAGTGATTGGAACTTGCCAGGCTATTTAAAACATCTGGCCCAGTATATTGTAGTTTACAAGGTGGGAGAAAAAGGGAGAGAGAGGAGAGGAGAGAGAGAGAGAGAGAGAGAGAGAGAGAGAGAGAGAGAGAGAGAGAAAGAAATTGATTTACTCTTAAGCCATATTAGAATGTCCCTTCTGCTGTACTGGTTTAGGTGAACACTCTTGGTAAGAATGTAAAGATGGGGCAAACTTCTGCCTTGGGACTCTCATTTAAGCTGAGGACAAAGGCTGCCATGTTCCCTGGGCTTTCGTATTTTTTCTCCCCTCTAATTCAGTTTCATTTGTCTCTTAATGTGATTATGTTCCAAATATGGATAAGAACATTTAAATGAGAATCTAGAAAAATACTACTTGCTAAAATATGCAGAATTAAACATGATCCTGTGAACATTCACTAAATATAAATTCCTATGGTGAAGAAGTCACCTATGCATTTCAATCTTTGCACATCTCTTTCTTTATTCTTAATTTGAATCATACTTAGACACTAAGTGGTAAATATTCTTGCCTGTGGTTAAAATCCATTTAATGCCTCCAGCCAAATTTCAATGTTCTTTTTCCTTGAATACTATAAAAGGATTTAGCTTTAAAAATTATAATGTCTTTATGTTGGAGAAGGACACAAATTTTTAAATATATCTTCCTGTATCAGGAGAAGAAAGTTCATTGCTTTTTACAAGTTGAACATTTTAGTGCATCCACAGATGATAGTTCTGCTTTCCGTTTCCGCGAGTAGATTAAAAGCCAGGAGCCACTTTGGGCAATAGTTAACTAAAACGTATGCATCAATCAAGGCTTTCTCCGCTTCTTCCTTAGAGGATTTCTGCAACCCGCTGCCTCGCCACTGGATTGCTTCCGACTTCGGCAGCCTGAGGATTAGACACATGCGCAGGGTTGGTCTCTTTGTGTGTGCACCAGGAAAGGCTCAGCGTCGGTTTACACTTCCTAACGGGGCAAAGACCTGAAAAGGCCGCGTGTACCTGAGGGGGGTGGGGGGATGCGTTGTTGACTCTCCGCCACTGAAATAAACAATTGTTTCACGCTCCCTTTTGCTTTTTCTAAACCTGTAAAGTCTCCACCCAGCTCTGTCTCCGCTGCCGGTTTTGAACCTGAGATTAGGAGCCCTGGAATGAGGAGCCAGGTCTGCCCTTAGGAATCCACGCCCGGGCGAGTGTTGGAGGCACAGGGCGCTGGTGGGAGCGGTACCCCAG